TTTACAGATACAGCACAGATACTGTTTTCCTGCAAGTAATGTTTGTCCAAGAAAAAAGGCATCTTTTTAGAGGTCTCGAAGGCCAAACTGCAAATTGCATCCAGTAGGATGTGTTCTTTATGTCTGGCTTTACTTTCACCAGAACAAGATTTATCACTGAACACATTTAAAATAGTATCTGAATTCGATGTGTTACTGTTTCCACGGGTGCATTGAATGGCAAGACTTCATAAAAAGGGTTGTTTCTTTTGACATACCATTTCAATTTGCGCTGATTAAGATTAAGCTCTTTGGTGCTTGGACACCAGAGGGAGATATTTTGTGATTAAGAGACATCTGAGCTACAGAAGGATAAATGCTCCCATGGAGTCCAGACACTGATTGTGGTGGTGGCTGATTGCTCTGAGGCTGCTGACTGCTGAGGCGTATGAGGCTGATGAATCTGGAAAGACTAGGTGTAGATGGGGAGGTGGAAGGAGCGCACGATGGCAGCAAGAAGGAAGTACGGCAGAGAAAGAACCATTTTTAAAAAGAGGAGTAGTAAGATGATACACCTTCTGACAAAGAAGGTGTGTCGCTGTGCTATGGGTTTTTTGTGATAACTGATGATTCAATTAACAGACCCGGGACAATGACACCTAGAGATAGAGAGTGAGCATATGTGCAAGGAGTGATTGGCAGGGTGAGAAAGAAACTTACAGCCTGAGCATTAAAATATTGTCTTCCTGACTGAACTTTCGCTACAGCTTCATTTTTTTTGATTGTTTCAAATTCCCATCGCTGACACTGATGTCTCACTCACAGGCACACCAGTCTATACACATACAATTAAAGCTCCATATATCATCGTTGACATCTTTACATTAGTCATTGTTGAGATTCTGAACATCAGCCACTGGGACATTCCAGTGTGCATATGGTTCTCAGTGTGTGTCATTTACAGTAAGAGCACACGCTTGAGCAAAAATGTGATCTGAGCAAAGACCTAAATAGCAGGACTGCCATTTTGGCATCATGGAATGCACATAATGCACTGCATGTAACCATATAATTATTGTATTATATATCATGTTTTCAGCACATCTGTAGACTTCAAAGCAATGCTCACCACATACATCTGTTAGCTCTCAATGTCCAATTGTTACAGTGATTCCGATAAATGTCGTTATTTAGCCATTATTAGACAATGTGGTTTGAATGGGACGTTCTATTTGAAGTGGTCTCAGGCACACCGCAGAATTCTGGTCTATGAGCGAGAAAAGCAGTAAAATTCACCAAAAATAGAGACTTGTGCACACACGTTGCTACATATTTTATTGTTAACATTATTCTTTGACCTCCCTCGAGACATGCTTACGGGTCATCCTGTGTCAAGTCAAATAGAGGTTGTACATTTTAGAGTTCGTCCAGATGTCATGTTGATGCTATTTGAGACTCGATTCTGTAAAATGTTTTTCACGGAATTTTAAGAATTGCATATGTTTTTGCCCTTAGGAATTTTGTAAGTTTTGCCCCCTAAAAAAACATTGAGGTGGAAGCCATTTTTAGGGTTCATTGTTTGTCAGTTTGACAGTGGCAATGACAAAAGGGTGTACAAGAGGTCTGAATGATAGACAGGCACAAGCAGATGTCATCTTTGCAATTTATGGCCGGTGCACTGGGAATAGATAAGTGGTTATGGGACCCCAGGCAGTCCATAAACATATGGACGTTTCCATACTTCCATACTATTATGTTATATCAGGGGTACAATCGTAAACAGAATCTGATATACAGCAAAGATGACAAGCCAAGGTTGCAATTTGTTGCTTTTTTGAGATGCCAAAATGGCGCTGTGGACCATGGAAATTTGCATGGAAAAGGGTCTTCATGTTTAAATTCTACTGTGTTCAGTTGACGCCTTTCATCAATATTCCTTCCAGTATCCAAGTCATCAATATTTTAGTTGTATAAGAAGATTCACATCAATAGATATTATGATGTTCTAGCTGCAGCTACAGGCCTTCTGTATCAAGTAGAGAATGATACAACATGTAAGAGAAAGAGGAGATGTGGCACATATTCTCAGTCAGCTGAAATCTACAGCGTCATGAGCACACGTTCATTATGTGGCACCATCACACCCCATGATGTGAAATATTGTTTGAAAATATTGTTTTCCCTTACTGATGTTTAATTGTTCCTCAGCCGATCCTGCTTGTTCCCTTTTTCATTCTGGTTCCCACCACTAATTAGGAATGGGATTTAACTGCCAATGACTTTAGCGCGGGATCAGAACACACCCAGCCATTATAAGAAACCCAGGGACCCATAATGTGGTGTGGGCTTGGCCGCTGAAACCATGGGGTGGAGAGACAGGAGTGGAGGGGAGTGCTGGTAACAGTTTCTCTTGGTTGCTCTTTGAATTGTTGGCTGTGTCCTTCTCTCGCCTTTGGCCTGTCATGAGAGGTTTCTCTCCCCCCCGTTTTGAAATTGTTTTCTGTTTGTTTCCTCTGCTCTCTGGCTCTTTTTCTCAATGTCTCTCTGTTTTGCTCTTGTGTACCAGTTTTACCTCCTTCTTTACCCTCCATCCCCTCTCACACACTCTCACTCCCTCCCACACTCTCTTGCCACAGTAAGACCTAATATGAACTTTTGACAGGAGCTGGGATCTTTGTTTAATTGCCAGTGTTACTGCGAATGCCCTCATAAATCTAATGCTGTAATGCCTTTGAAACGCCTTCTGGGCCTCGCAATCGCACACACAGACGCGCACCATCTCTTTCTCACTTTTCTCCCACTTTCTCGCACTTTGCGTCACGTACACCCAAACACATGCACAGTCGCACACACACACACAGATGTGATGTGTGAGAATGAGGGCTTTGAGGTTGTTTGTGCTCGCATCAGACACAGCAGCTCCAGTGTTTGTTTGCAGTTTCCACTGGCTCTGGTCCAGTCCACCAAACCCATGGGAATTTGTGGATCAGCATCTTCTCAAAAAGCTCCTGGGCGTCAAGAGTGTATAACTGAGCAAAGAAAGAGTGCAATGAGGTCGTTATTTTTATGTGGTATTTATGATTTAATCTGTATGCCATAGTTTATAGTGGTGGGTGACGGGGGAAAATGGGAGAGCAAGACAAGTGGTGTCATAATTTAGGAGAGGAATTAAATAACAAGATCTTGCTGGAGAAAAACTCACTTCTGAATGTATTACATTTTGTTTTTATAGCTTTTTTTCTGATTATACATTCATGCAATTTAATGTCACTGTTTGCTTTCATTTATCGATCAATTCAAAGCAGAAAGTAAATAATATGTTATACTAAGGTACGATTAATCCTGCAGAAAGTTTGATAACATACATTAAGTATGGCTCTTCATTACATCGTCTGCTAAAAATACATTTTAAACAGGGTGAGCTGTAATTATGTGTAATTGCTATTACATATGTAATATGTTTGCTGTTGGGTTTTGCACTCTGTATCAGTTCAGCTCCCGTGATAATATTCACAATATTGCCTGCGGGGATATTTGTAATCAGCATATATTATATATTAGAGGATTCAGACACTGCATTTCATTGCTCACTCAGTTGTTTTAGGTTTTTCAGTTTGCAATGGCCCTGAAAGTATGGTAGAAGTCACAACTGGAGGCTGATGCATGCTTATCCCCTTGCCAGGAAGTGCAGCTAACTGACATTCTTACAGTAATGTGGTCAGAGCCTGAAACATTTTGGTCTGAAACATCAAGACTATGACACAACAGAATTTTGGTGATAACAGGTGAAGTTTTTATGTTCAGTAATGTCACTCAGTGTCAGCCACCTCAACACAGTTCTGCACAAGGAAGTGTTTAGGTCCTCCTGTGCAAGCAGCTTAATATGACCCATTTTTACTTCTGTTGTTAAGCTAGGATCACACTGGATGCGGCAACACCTCAAAACCCTGCCTATTTTCCATGGAGCACTGCTCGCTTCCTTTTGGTGCCTATGTTAAACAGTTTACCTTACCTTTACCTGCCTGCAATTCTGTACCAGTCATTTAGAACTGAAGAAGCTTCTTGGATGAGAGGTGAAACATCTTCAAGAAACGCAAGCAAGTCCAGTTGCCTACGATGTAGCACTTACGATTACCATGACCTGGATGACTGAGAATCTCCACAGACACCTCCATGTCCCAAGTGAACCTGGCATGAAGTAGCAACCTCTACTGTTTGTGGAAATTTCGGTGGGAGCAAAGGAGGAAGTCAGGTGTGACGCAGTTTAAAGAATGACATGTCCGTGTAGGGAGGAGGTGGGGATGGATGGATGGGTCAGGACTTTTACCCAGGACACTGCTGTATCTCTCCAGTGTGAAAGGAAAAGTCATCGTAGACATATTTTAACTTACGTAACCATGTCAGCATAACTTTTGTCATGTATGCAAGTTCCCAAACTCATGTCCCGCATGCGTAGTACTTAAGTTACAGGTCAAACATAAACCTCATCATGTAGTTTTGGTGCCTAACTGCAATAGTATTGCAGTGTTAACCATGTGTTCAAAACTATGACCTTTAGTACACGCATGTCACTCATACTCTCTGAGGGTCAAATATGACCTTTTGGGAGTCACTGACTAATAACCTGTTCTGTCCTTTAGGTATGAAAACGTGTTGACAGCAAAGGGTATGCTAACACATGCAATATGAGTTTGACCTAAAAGGGAACATTACTGGTGCCGGGGGGTTTAAATACATAAATAAACAAATGAAAACATGTCATAAAGTTGATGTGATCTTTTTGTCATCATAGACCACATACACTAGTAGGCTTCATAAGCAGATATACACACACACCTTTCAGAGGGCTAAAAAAGTCCCATGTCTGAAGCTCACAGGCAACCAGTTCAAAAGAGATATTGAATCTCCTCCACTTCTGTGGTACAGGTTAGGTTGTCCCTCATAACCTGGAAGCAGAAATCTGAAACTGAGCATGTAACCAGAGCCCAACACATGTAAACACAGTTATTGTTTTTTTTCAGGTGTGGCAGAGTGAGAGTCAGAGAGGCAGATCAGCTGGTCTAGACAGGAGGACCGTCAAGGTAAGTGTTACATTCTCTCTTTGTTGTCTATTACAGTATACAATACCTGTCTGTCTCTGCACATCTCTCTGTTTCCATCTCTCTTTCCTTTCTCTTCGCAGCCCTGATTTGTTTTCTCTTATTGTCTGTGTCTCCATCTCTCTCTGCCTCTGTGCTTCTACAGCTGATTACATGAATTATTTACAACAAGTAAATCCTCAGCAGCTGCTCTCTGTTTGCTGTTTTGCCCTCCTTGTTCCTGTCTCTATTCTCTTTCAGGTTAACACAAGAGGATTTTTTTTTTCCCTCAACCTTGTCACCTCTTCTTCCCTCTCTCTGTCTTCCTGTTTCTGTGCCTGGGGTTAAGCTCTCTCTCTCTCTTGCTCGCTTTCTGTCTCCTCTCATTCTCTCTAATTACACAGCTCTCAGTTGCAGCCCTGTGTCTTCCCATGGGTTTGTATATCCTTATGTAAGGACTGTCTGAATGGCATTCTGTAATAATGGGAATTTTAACTCACAAGTCCACAGTTTGTTTGTGTGTATTTGTGTGTGAATATGTGTCTTCCACTGTGTGTTTGTATGTGTAGCTGTCTTGTTCACACAGTTATTCACACATTTATACAGTCCACACAATATATGGTTTCAGATCCTTACAATCAAGACACTCATGTGAACTCAAAGTCATTGTGATTACAGTTCTTCGGCAGCTTTGCCTTATGTACAGCCAGGAAGGCTTTTTTCTTTCACTCCAGGCTTCAAATGCTTTAACAGGGATCCCAAACTGTGCTGTCAAATTAGTTTTTTTTCTTCTTTTCTTCTTTGGGCCCTTCAATCAAGTCCCTAGGTTGGACTCCAAGTATATTTTTTCATGTACACGTGAAGTAATTTCATGTTGAAAAGAAAGAAGAAATTAGTGGTTCCACACAAGAAAATCTATCAAAAAAATAGCATGAGGCTAATTCCAAGGGAGAAAAAAAGAGAGACAACGAAAGGGAAGCATTACCTTTGGCTCTGTTAAATAATTTCTTTTTCCCCCATTCAGTTTCCATTGTTCGAAGCCTTGGCCGATCTGTCCAATATTACTGCTAATCTAACTTCAAAGGGTTGCAGTCATGTTAAAGCACTTTTTAATTGTGATAAGGAATATGCTTTCATGCTTAAACCCTTCCTCTCTGTTCGTCTGGACAGAACCCATAAATATTGAGGCCTTTTTTTCACTGGCAATTAAAATTAGAATTGGTCACATTTTTCACTGTCAGCCATTTCCTTTGCACACAAAGACATGTGTGGGCCACACACGCATACATGCGTACAGACACATGCAGAGCCAGACGTTGCCATATGTGTGCACGCAGGAGCACAGTTTACATGATGTTTTTGCCAAAGTTAATTACACTCAACACAAAAACCTTGCTTGATGTCCTTTGGACATTTAAAACCTCTCCAAAACTAAAAGTGCTCAAAGGCTTTTCCAGCCTTGCCAGTCTGGCAGGACGGCTGATTCACTACAGGCTTCCCTGTTGTTCCTATGACACATGAGATGCGGACTGCGCCGTATTGTCCAGAGATAACACAATAAGATGATTCTTGAGTGAATCACTTGCACTCTAGTGCTTTTGACACGGAACTTCCTTGAAGCTTTGATATGTGCACAATATTTTGAGGCAGCAGAGCAGAAAGATGTAATTCTGTTGTGACAAAACCAATTTGGATAACAGTACATTGTACAGAACAAAAGCAGCATGAAAATGCACCATTGGTTACAGTTGTTGGGTAAATTGCCTCATCTATTTTGCCTCAAAATGATTCTCTTAAGTTGTCTTTGGCCTCGACTCAAAGCTTTAAGATTGTGTACATCCTAACATTTTCTCCACAAATAAAAGGAATAAGAAAGGGAGAAGAAAACAAGATTGCATACGCTGCCAGATCAGCAGTCACATGAGTAGACTGATCCCCTATACAACTTTAATCTTTGTGCATCCAATACATATACAGTAGATCCGTAATGTGTTAGCCTAGCATGGAACAAAGAGAAGAAAAAAGAAAATCTAGGTCTTTAAACAGACCTGTTAAAAAATACACACTCTAAAATGTTACAAGTGATAACATTCACTAGTTATAAAATGTATCAAGGAGACATTGAGTTCAGTGTAAATAGATTTTCTATGCTGGAGGAGCAACTAATACTGCAGACACATGAATAACTAAGCAGTTTTATTCCAGTAGGGTGAGTTAAGGGGACATACTGTAAGGTCAAATGGGACAGTATCACCTGTATCACCTCCCAAAAAAATAACCTTTTTTTTTTTTGCTGAGCCATAGCTGTGAATCCACATAATCTTAATTGCATGCCACGTAGGTCGGTGAGACAAGATTCAAATAGGAAACTGACCATGCAATGCATGAGGCGAGGAAAATGACTTAAGCTTTGGTTAGTTTTAATCATTCATGGAAACATGATTATGATGTACTACTGCTCTAAAATCTGTAAAAAATTCATATCTTGTGTCTATTTTTGGAATTAAAGGAATAGTACACCCAAAAATGAAAATTCACCCATTATCTACTCACCCATATGCCGAGGGAGGATCAGGTGAAGTTTTAGAGTCCTCACATCACTTGCGGAGATCCAAGGGGAGAGGAGGTAGCAACACAACTCCACCTAATGGAGGCTTACAGCGCCACAGATTAAAACATCCAAAAACACATAATTGAAACCGCAAAATATCCCCATACTGCTCGTCCGTAGTGATCCAAGTGTCCTGAAGCCCCGACATAAAAAGTTGTTTGGAAAAACGTCATTTGAACTCTACAAATACAACTCTACAGATACATTTCTGTAATCTTATGACAGAAATGTATCATTTGTTGGGCTTTTTTATGATCAGAAGGTTTACAGAAGGAAGAAATTCAAAAACTGTCCCAGTCACCCTTAATTCACCCTATGTGCACACATTACATCATTACTGACTGGCTTATAGTATGACAGACATGTTTGACAAAACCATTGGGACTGGCATTCAACTTCATATTAAGTTTCCTATGTTGCCACTTTATCATCGTGTCATAAGTGACATGCACATTCACCCTCCCACCCTTAAAGGCTCAGCAGTTCAACAGTGTAAAACTCTGACATTGACACTGCAGCCAGACTGACAGCTCCAGCTCCACTGCAGTAGCTCTCACACTTCACCACAGCACAACTTTGCTCCACAGTCAGTCAGGGTTTCAGACATACTGCACATTGTTCAAACTGAGTTTCTCACTGACAACACTCGGAGCTGGGATTTGTTTCTAAGTTTGGAGAATAAACTATTAGTGACGGTGAAGGAACAGAAGAAGCTTGACTTCGGTTCGTTCCCCCTCACCTCAGCTCACTACAGCGTGCCTTTAACGCTACAGTCAGTCTGGGTATTGAGTTTTGGCTGACATGGCTGGGTTGGCTCACTGCTTGTTTAGCAGTCTGAGCCAAGCATGTGCATGTGCGGCTATGTGCGCGTGTGTTTATGTGCATGCATGTCTGCCCTTGTGTTTCTGCAGGATTTGTGTGCATGCGTGTGAATGCATGACTGTGTGCGTGCGTGCATGTGTGTGTTTGCCCCTATGTGCCTGCATGTGTCACGTGCGGTGAGAGAGGGCTCGAAACCTTGGTGGAGTGTTTTTTGGGTTGTTGTGCAGTGTGGCCTCATTACCCAGGTGTTTACCCCCAACCACAGGAAGCGCTTGTCAGTGATGACTGTCTGCCGGCAAACATCGCCTGAGGGAAAGTTAGACAGGGAGGGAGGAAGAGAAAGAGGGAGACAGAGGGAGGTGGAATCATAGAAACACAGCTTTTATATTCTGTAGGGTGCCCCTGTGCGAGTATCTATCTATCTATCTATCTATCTATCTATATCTACCTACAGCACATCCATAGGTGCATGCCTCTGTGTGTTTTTCCTTTTCCCAAATGTGTCTTTATGTGTGTGTGAGAGTGTGTGTCTGTGTGGCTGTGCCAATCAAACCCTCGCTGGCAGGTCATTGGGTTCCTCCACTCCTTCAGCAGTGGAGAGAGAGAAGGAGGGAGGAGGGAGAGGAGAGGAGACATACAAGCTGTTGACAGGGATTTATGAGCTGATAGTGTCAGACTGCAAGCACAACAACAGTCTCCCTGTCTCTGCCTGTCTGCTCATGGAGAGAGAGACAGAGACTGACAAAAAGAATGAAAGGGGGGAGGAGGGGGGGACAGCCAGAGTGTGAGGCAGCAAAATGAGTTGAAAAAGAACGAGTGGAACGAGGGAGTGAAAAATAGGACACATAGGAAGAAAGCTGGGATGTAATTTAATTTGTTTAGGGTTTGCATTTTCTGCTACACACACACACGCTGTCTCTCCCCTCCTCTTCACTTCAGCATCATCATTATATGAGCTGACTCGTTGTCTTGTTGATTGGTGACTGCTTTTGTTTTTGCTTGTTTACACTCATGTGACTAAGAAACCATGTGTTCATGTGTTTAATATAAACCAAAGGCTATTGTTGGTCTTGCGTGACCACCGAGAGGATGAGAGGGACTGCGCTGAGATGACTGTGCACGCATATTCCGGACAATTAAGTATCCTACACTGGGTCGCATCTTCAGAAAAGCTCAGGATTTCACGTTTGATAAGACTGTAACAAAGAACTGTGGACATCAGTTCATTTTTAAAGACTGTGCAAGAATAAAGAAGTTATTGAAAGCTTTTAGCACATTAGACAATTGTTCTTTGTGGCCGCGCATGTGTGTGTGTGTGTGTGTGTGTGTGTGTGTTCTGTGTGTGAGTGTTCAGATTTGTCATGGTGAGTCAGAGCGGCAGTGTTCACTGTTAGATGACACACTGATAAAGTTGAACTGTCTGACTGTCTGACATATGAGAGACACAGTCTGGTGGGTAATTTTGTCTAATTTGCTGTTCTAAGCACAAATCCATAATATCTGACTCTATTTAAGTTTCATGACTTCCACAATACATCCTCTTTTGCCAGCCTATTTGGCTTTGGTTCCTTTTCAGATGAGGCTGTGGTTTTTATATAGCGGTGTTTTCCTCCCCAGACTAATGCTGGGCTCACACTTCATGATATCAGCCTGACTAAAGCCTGGTGCAGCGATGTACGGTGTCGATTCGGATCTTGAATGACAATAAGTGTCGTGTGTGATAATCTATCATTTTATCTCATGTAGTGTGTCATAGTAGACAACAACCAATGCCTCATGACATCCCAACAGAAAGTCTAGCATGTTTAGGAACATGCTAGACGAATAGAAACACGGAGCGATCTGCTGCCATGGACAACTGTACAGCAACAGCACCCCGGGCTTTTTAATATTTCCTCTAGGGATGTTACCACGACAGAGTAAAAAAGGAAACTGATGGCGTGAAACAGCAGAGGCACTTCAGCAACCTGGGGCCATTAGCATCAGGCTAGCAAAGAATGCTATTTTCTTCATAATGGAGACGGATATAAAGTTATAAAATTAAAAAGTAGTGGCGGGGGTTTTAATTACCACAACTACAGAGGGTACCAACTTCATTTGAAACAGACTCCAGTTATTCCTGTTATTTATTATTCCCTCGTAATTTTTCTGTTTTTACTTTTAGTCCGCTCCAGTTTGCCTTGAATAAAGTTAGTGCAAACTCAACACTTCCTGCATCTGTTTAAAATTAAAAGCCCCTTATAAGTTTGTTGAAGAGAATCCCTTTTTTTTCTAAACAGGCTTTTATTGTGAAACATTTGTCAGTGACTTGTTGTGGAGGATTCAGTGACTTGCATGAAGTTTTCATGCAGTGCCATCTGGTGGCACTTTTTTATGTTACTACAGTAACATTTCGGCTGGCACATGATTAGCCACAATGACTGAAATGATAGCAATAACTGTAAAAATAGGACAAGAATTCTCCTGTGTTTCCTCCTCTTGTAGTCTGTCATGTCTGTCGGCCAAGTCACAGCAAGATTTTATGACTTCACAATCGCCTAACATGACATAGTGACTTCTGGAACGGAGAAAAAAGTTGTCTCGTGTGAACCTGGCATAATTGACTTTGCTGTTATCAGTTAATTCACCCATTATAAGTTTCATTATTTCTAACACATTTTTATTCCTAAACAACATAAAAGGTCATTTGCCAACAACTCCCAAAATGACGAATATGAACATTGGAGAGTATTAGCAACAGGAGCACTGACTAATGGTCACAGTTTTAAATAAACATTTAACATTATGAAACAGTCGCAGTTAGGCACCAAAACCACTCGGTTAGGTTTAAACGACGACATTACTTGCATCAAGTTGATTTACATTATGTGTGTGACACAAGTTGAGTTCTAAGGATGAGCGAGAACACAAGTTGTGTAGTGTAGTCGAAATGGGTGGGGTTTAAGTCAGATGTGGGTGGGGTTTAAATTGAAAGTGGGTGTGACATAATCTGAAGTTGTTACTTTAAGCCTGAAATTGATATGGGTTGATCAGAAGTTGCTATATTTATTATTTATTAGAAAACTATTTACTGAACAATCTCAGAATTAAGCTCCAGATCATTTTTGAGCACAAGAATAAGAGATTAAACACAGCCACCCAAATGAGGAATTCCCTTTATAACAAGTACTGATATTGACTCATTTTACTTGTATAGTACTCGTATCCGAGGTACAGTATGCGTACCAGATACTTGTCTAATCCCAGTATTCTGCTCAGTCATATTAAGTACGTTACCTTATGTACTGTAAAATCATAGACTGGATAAACCAATGGACACAACTAGTGTGATGTCATTCAGTGGTTTGTGGACTGCTGTTCTGAGCCTCAGTTTTGGCATTTTGGTGTTGGCTGTCTTGGTTTTTTGGAGCCAGAAGTGACTGTGTTTGGATGAAAGGTGAATCTGCCTCACAGGCTGCCTGTTATCCAAGTGGCCCGCCCTTCAAATATGCTCAACATTAGGCCTTAATAAAGTGTAATGTAAATCCCCTGTATAGTTGTCATAAATGTTGAAATTAGCTTTAGAGACCAAACCCGTTTTTTGTACTTTCCTATTTTCTGCTGTAGAGTTAGTTTTTGCAAACAAGGGTCGTAATAAGCTGCTTGCACTGATGAGCTTCTCAGTTGTTTTTTGTGGGACAGTCTTATTTTTTTCACAAAAAGCCACTTTTCTTACACTGACACTGAGAAATGTGTCAAAGATTTAAGTCTGTAATTATATGCTGTATCTAAATTATTGATTTTTTGCATTTAGCTCCACTTACACTTTACATGAGATTTGTAATTAAACACAAACCCACTGTTGTCAGTTCTTCCAGTATATTCTCAAGTCCAGCACATATAGACATCCAGCCTCTCTGACAAGACACTGGCTTTCAATTTTGGATAAATCATAAGAGTACCTAAAATACCATACCCTGTTAAATGTTATGATCGTCATAATAACAGTGATCCAGACGTGAAGTCTGCCAGACTGACATGTTGGGAGACAGACAGCCTGACAGTGCAAAGCACACATACCCCCTGGGGATAATACAGACTTGTAGTGATTTATGTCAGTTCCTGTTTAATGATATAGTATTAAAGACTGGTGATTTATGAGGCCATTTTCATTTTGCATAGACACTCAGGGTTTAACTTACACTCTCCAACATGCTGAGCAATGATGCGTTGAGTTGAGTTTCCCAAAATAGCAAACGTCATTATCTTCCAAGAACTCGTCTCTGTAGATAATGGCCTGTAGTGCAAATGCAATGCAAATAAATACACGCTATTTGTTATTTATACAGTGAAGGTAATATGAGGGACTCAGGTAGACCCTAAGCTGCAGATCCACCACAGGCAGAGGTGATCCTCTGGTTAAGGCTTTCAGTCCAAGAGCAACAGCGTAGGGGTTAAAGATGACAGTCAGGTAGTTCAGGTGTGGTTGTTAATATGGGGTGTTAAGAGCAGCACAACCTGTCAGGGCTGCTAGAGGCTCTTAGAACATTTATGTTTTCCTTAGAGGTTTTGGGGGTCTGTTAAAGTTTCACCATCTTATATTGCCTTTTATTGCAAATATACAGTCAAGATGTCTTAATTTTTAAACATTAAAGTGCTGATCATATGTCAAAGATAAGACCATGTGCAAGAGACATCCGGCAATAAAATGTCAAAATAAAAGACTATATAAAGCTGATACGCAACATTTTCTGATGAAAACTTGTGTGGCAGCTGTAAGCTGTGGCTGCGGCTGGTCCCACCTACTGCTACAACAGCAATTTTTCAAATCGTTTAGTGCCACCTACAGGTAAAATTATATCAAATACGACATACTTGTTTAGCACCCCAATCTGTGCAACTTTGCTAAATTTGGTTACCATGGAATATTTCATTAAAGAGATATGGCGGTTAATAAGTTGCATGGTGGTGTTTTACTAATGGCCACAAGGTGGGGGTGTTGGCACCATGAATAATTATGTTGTGCACATGCTCACTGCTTGCCAGCTCTCACAATGATAAAGTGTGTAGATTATGATAATGCAAGCTGGCAGGCACTCACACAAACTCAGATAAACCCGCACAATCTCTAGGGTTTTGCCCCCTCAGTGCTTGAACCCGATAATAAATCGGCACAAGCTCAATGGGGTTCTGCTTTTTTGGGGCTTGAACCCTAATGACTGAGAACTTATAGGTAGATCAACATGTTAAGTTGTTTTGTGCCTTAAAACACACAAAAAAAGAGAGAAATGAGTAATGAAATAAATAAATCAGCGGATAAATGATCTCAAGACATCTCTATTCAGACATGGTGAGGAAGAAACTGGTGATTTATTTTGGTTTTTAAAATTTGGAATTTGAAATGCTGAGTGATTTAGATTTGTCGTAATAAGCCACACCCACAGCTGCTTTCAGCTTTCACACGTAATTAATCTGTGGTGATCTTGTGTAACGCTGGTGACTGACTCACTGCAGCTGACTGTTTACAATATCATATATCATCGCAGGCGCCCCCACACACTCCATCAGCAGGGATATGCTACAAATATTTCAATAAAAAACTTAGCTGTTTTTAACAGTGAAGCTTCTACTGCTTTAATTCTTTGGTATAAAATTATGTTAATATTTTCATGCATTTATATTTGTATTTGTGTGCTCTGTGTGTGTGTGTGTGTGTGTGTGTGTGTTTGTGTAATGCAGATCTCAAAAGACACCTGCATGAAAATGGAGAACAAAAATGAAGATAGTGAAGAAACAGCTTCATGGAGAAAAAACTGTTAAGTTACACACATTTGTCACATGTAAGTTAACATGTATTTGTCATCTCTGTTGTCACATAACTTTTCAAACTGCAGTTCAAGTATTGAACTTTCAGTATGTTGCAGCATCTGGTGGCTCTGGAGTCTAAATTAGAAGTTTAGGATGTGCAATCACCAAGAGTTTTTTACACAGTATAACTGGTTGTGAAAAAGTCTGAAAATCATTATACACTGATGTTGTTTTTTGTGTGTTATATGGTGAGAGTCATGACAGTTCTTGCTGGAAAGTTTTAATTTGTGTTTCTCAAGATAATATAAATGTGTCTGTTATCATGACATTTTCAGTGCCAGCATGTGCTTATATGGTAGATTTGAAAACCCTGGCCTTGTTCATGTTCACTGATATATAACTAAGTGCTGTTTATGTGCTGTTCACATTTTGTTTCACAGAACTGTGCATGCTCCTCTTTGCGGGACATAATCTTTGCTAATGCTTTTCATGTATGTACATATGATGGAACATGCAGTCAGAACAATGTATGCATCACAGGATTCAGTGTTACACAGCTTTGACAATCATAGTGTCTGGTACAATAACATATTTATGTACTGTAAATTCACTGTATCTGTTAAGAAGTATTATCCCAATTTGGTCACAGGAGGACAAAGACAACATTAAGGACATGTACTCATGCAATATGTAAAACTCTGTGGAGAAGTGTTCCCAGATTATAGTGCTCTCATGTGACAAAAACTGTATGCACAGCATTTCCCTTTTATCACCACAACATAGAAAATTAATGAACATTGTATTGTTCTGCGATACATCTCTGTAGTGTAAGGTTGGATGAGGAATTTTAATGGTCACTCAACAGACTCGTGAGAACATGGAACTACACTTGTCGTATGAAAATTCACCAGCAGCCCAGAGTATCTCTTTCTTAACAACTTTCCCCACACATGTTCTTTAAAGCCCTTTAAGTAGCTGAGTGGCCTGCTGCAGGGTGCTGTGGTAATGATGGTAACTTGAGATATAAAGTGGGCATTGCAGCATAGATACATTGGTGTTTAAAATGAATAAGTAAATACCCTTCTTGAAACTTGTTTACAATATGTCTGTGGTTCACTTACTTTACATTCTTTATCTTCACAAGTCCAGTTTGACCTGAAAACATCTTTCAGCAGTAATAAAATGTGCAGGCCTACCTTAGATATCATCCCCAGTTATGTGGTTTCCTTTCTTTTACTTTATAGTGAACTCAGACTTTACTTATCTATTTTCTTATATTAAAAATTGCATATTTTCACAACTAAGCTGTCTTCTTTGCATATTACTGACTACTAGTCCATACCCACTGAGTGCACAGTTGCCTGTACAGTTTCATATGGTGTGTGTTTGGGATACAGGTCATAGGAAATTGCAGATTAAATAGTCAGCTGAACCCATTAAGAAGAGCAACGTATTCAGACAGAGTTTTTGTGAGTTTGATAGTACGATTGCTTTATTGAAAGTACAGTAGTACCATTGCCAATAGTGGGATAGTTAGTGGGCTAAAACTGTACATTACTAGTTGAGGCAGCAAGTTGAAAGGCAGATAGTTAAAGTGTTTATATGTTGTATTGACTTAAAAGTGGGATGCACTGGTAGAATGACTGACTGACTGACAGAATGACACACTGACAGTTTCTGTGATTATGTAGAGCATACCATGACTTAGTCATGCCAACAAAAAAAAACAAACAAAAAAACATTCAGCCACAGGGGGAGCCACAGCGATCGGTCGCATTTTAGCCATTTTTAAGCATTTTTCTGTTGTTATAGCGCCACCCAGTTGCCAATTAGAGTTATATTTCTCCAGTCACCTTGAGGCGTCCTGTTCTACATATCTACCAAGTTTAGTAAAAATCGATACGGCGGTCAGGCCTAGATAAGAAATTAGCTCTCTAGCGCCCCCATTTTGTTTGACGGGGTCAATAATGGGGTCAACTTTTGCTAAGAGGGAACTTTAGATATTGGTCCCTAGATTATGTTCACCGAGTTTCATGCAGATTGGTCAAACTTCCTAGGAAGAGATCGATTTGAAGTGTTTTTCAAAAAATTCAAAATGGCGGAAAATCTGTATCACCGGAAATTATGGGTTCTTGAGGCAAATTTGTTCCTCATGAGGAGAGGCATCTCTGTGCAAAGTTTCTCTACAACATACGGGGCATGAGATATGCTCATTTAAAGTTCGCATCCTCCTATGACCCTCTACCACTGTGCCAAATTTCACATGGATTGACCAAGTCAGTGAGGAGAAAAACGTGGAACAGACACACAGACACACCCACACACACCCCCACAGACAGACAGAGTTTTCGTCATTATATAGTAAGATATTTGCCCTTACATCATTAATAATCCTATCTGTTACTTCTTTTTGTGTAACCAGATGCTATTGTTAATTCATGTATTTTAGTAATATGCTAAAAATACTTTTACAGTGTCTTTACAGTGAACTATTTACACATTTATGTTTACAGTTATAATTTACATATTTATATGTACACATTTACCTCAGTCTAAGTCCTTCTAGCTTCTCACTGGTTACGTAAGAGATATGTGACCCATAACAAGGAAGTGTAACCAGGAAATTTGGCTGTTGTGAAGCTGTTGAAGTGTGGAGAATATTAAAGTGCTGCTTAAAGGGAAATTTCGGTTTATTTCAACCTGTCTCCTATTGTCCTAAATTTGTTTCAAGTGACTAGTGACATAATAGCTAGCATGTTAGCCGTTAGCCTGGATACAGCCGGGGTGCATAGTAGTGTCAGACCTGTTAAAACACAAGGGAACGGGCAACCTTCAAGTGCAAAGTTAGTCCACTAAACAAGCTTTATCTCCACAAAGACCGCCTCATGTCGTTAGGATAAATGTCAGAGAACATATAGAAAAGACATGTAAACGTGTTGTCTTACCTTACCGGTGTGGTGCCATGTTTGTTTACCATCTAGCTCTGCTTTCCAAAGCGCGGCCGAAATATCGAGAGAACAAGCAGCAACAGCTGGAAGGAAGAACCGGACAGTAGCCTGAAAAGTTCATTCATTTATTTTATGAATGATTTATAGAATAATGGCTGACTTTTTGCCAGACTTCGACTTTGTGGAGGAGGAATTTGATTTTGCAGAGTTTGATGGCTGCCCTTATTTATTTGAGCCAGAATACACTGACAAAGAGCTTCATGAAATTGAAGGAGGAGAGAGAGAGAGAGAGAGAGAGAGAGAGAGAGGCGCAACAGGTAGAGGGCGAGAGAGGAGGAATGGCTGCTGCAAGGCTGCGTAGCTCTGGAGATTGGTGGTGTACCTGTGAATGCTGTGCCCCAATGCCCACAGAAGAGGAATGCCTCTGTTGCAAGGAATGGGACCGGTTGCAGCCTTATTATCAAGGTCTGGATGTGACCGAGGACGAGACACCTCCACCTGGAGTAGTATCCAGCTGGGCTTTATCTAGAGCTTGCGAGATATATTTCGGCCCAGCTTTGGAAAGCAGAGCTAGATGGTAAACAAACATGGCAGCACATCGGTAAGGTAAGGCAACACATTTACATGTCATTTTCTATATGTTCTCTGACATTTATCCTAACAACATGAGGCGGTCTTTGTGGAGATAAAGCTTGTTTAGTGGACTAACTTTGCACTTGAAGGTTGCCTGTTCACTTACATTTTAACAGGTCTGACGCTACTATGCGCCCCGGCTGTATCCTCATGTCACTTGAAACAAATTTAGGACGATAGGAGACAGGTTGAAATAAACCGAAATTTCCCTTTAAGAGAGGATCTGTCTCTATCCTGCTGTGTACTCTCAACAAGAGTGACCCAACCACCACACACAACCCTCATGTTACAATAGGCTAATAAAAACAAGACCGATGGGGCTTTTCCACTGGTTCTCTTGCCCACACTGAGTCAAACCATGCCAGCCTGATTTGCATTCCCACTGTCAATTTAAACATGCCAGGCCATGCCAAGCTGCATCAGAGAAGGACCATCTCTGGAGCCGGGCCAAAAGGACATCCGATTGCCTCCAAGTGGGTAGCAGTGATGTCTCGCCGACTGCAGCCGATCCCTGATGACCCCCTTTTCCCCAGCAAGAGTGTGTGTTGCATGACTCAGCTGATGTCTGTGTATAAGACCAGAGAGAAAGACATTGTGAAAAGTCTTATTGTATTCAGCGCTCAATACTTTTGTAGCTTCTAACTGAATTTCTGTGGTTTGGAGTTTAGTTTCTCTCCTGTGCCCCTGTTCGTAGTTTCAGATATCTGCTTAAGTTAACTGTTTCATGTTCACTTTAAGCTGTAAAAGAGTTGAAAACCCAACATTTTCATATTTTGCTGCTTCAAAATAAAGGTCTTTACATTACAAAATAAGGGGGAACTTTTATTGTGAAGAAGTTATAGGAAATGGAATGTGTTTATCACTGAATTAGCAAGCAGCTCTGTGGGGCTTTAAAAAGATGCTTCATTAGCTAAATGCTAACATCAGCATGCTATTATATTGACAATAACAATGCTGAAGTGCTGATGTTTTCCATGTTTATCATCTAACACAAGCTAATTAGCACTAAAAACAATTGAGGCTAATGGGAGTGACACTAGTTTGGTCCTATTTTTTTTAAAAATCACAATCAATCCAGTAGTTGTATCACAAATGTCAGCCACATAGGAGTACTACAGGAAAGGTCAGGGGGTCACTAGGATATATCATCTAGGAATCTGTAAATGTCTACACACATTTCATGTTGTAGATGTTGAAACATTTCAAAGGATAAGTACTACTGCAGATGAAAAGATCACCAGTCTCAAGGCTGCATCCTCTGGGAACCAAAATTTAATGGCAATCCGTTTGATAGTTTTTGAGATAGTTCAGTATGGGCCAAAGTGACTGCTTGCGTGGCTAATTAACATCTTGAAGTGTTTAAGCCAGTCATATGTAATTAGTCATGGAAGAAAACACTTTTTTTTCTCTGCACAAGAAAAGAAAATGTAGAGAATCCAAAATACCAGAGCTGGGTTAGCCCGTTACACCCCTGCAGTGAACAGTTTTGAAGCCTCCCTATCTGCCTCCCTCCATCTTTGTCTGTGGTTACTAACCCCTGCTACAGTGGTCAGACATGGGCCCCCTATGTTTTCCACGGACAGTTTATCACACTTCCTCTCTTTCTGCTCTAGGCCCCCAGTCAGTCGACCAGACAGGAAAATCAAAGACTACAGGACATACCATTACAGTGCAAATGGTATATATGGCACTCTACAGCATGCTGATGATATATAACTGTGAAGTCTCACAAGAAAACACAAAACAGGAAGGAGGTCTGAGCTGAGTTTCTCTTTAACAGCCCTCATAAGTGAACATAAATGTCTGAATCACACATTGGATTGATTTAAAGTTAGTCAGAATGATCCTGCACATATTGGATGCTATGGAAGGTAAAATGATTTTACTTGAATGTGTGAATGTTAACTGTATGGAGTTGACTTTGATTAAATAAAGTGCTTAATAAATCATTTGTGATTCAGTTGATTTCACTGTCATTATGTGGTATGGCTCTAAATGCCAGGTAAAATTATTTTATTTTTTTCTAGAGCAGTTTGTCAAACGTTCTGTCAGTCCAGCCTGACTTCACAGTCATTCCATCATACATTGAGAAACAGATCTCCTAAGATGGAACAGAGCATAAAACCACTGGCTTCAGCTCTGTCCAACATCTGGCTTCATTCCTGCGCGCTGCTATCTGGATCATGAACTGTGCTTTAAACATAGAATCAGCTTTAAGTAGGAAAAAAAAGGAACAGGATTTTTTTTGTGGATGAATAGAGTAGTATTGTTTAATAGCAATAGCATGTGAGCTGCAATGTGAACATAGATCTTGCTGTAAAGAAGACCTCTGGGTTTACTTGCTTCTGACTTATTAATGATATTTGGTTAAGTAGTACATGAGAGGTAGAATACTGAGTTCCTCTGAATAGTAAACATATGTGTAGCATACAGTACTTAATAACAGACAAACCAAAAGTAGGGCAAACTATGAGTTAATGCCATATGTTTCCTACAACTTCTGTTCTGCTATAAAAGGAAAAGAACACCACGTCTTCTGAAACTTATATCTAACAGCCCTGCTTTCTAGAAATGACATTTATATACAACTAATCTGAAACAGAAAATACATTTGAGGGAAACGTAATGCCGAACAAATTACATTTCCTTTAACGTAATGAAGAGATGTTACTAATTTATGTACCTGTCAAGTCCCAAAAATGCAGATACTAAATGCATCAGCAAAATATTCACTAACAACGAATTCCAGCCTTTTCCCACCTAAACAGGCAATCTTACAATACAATATCTGTTGTGACTTTTTGACTAAACAAAATGTCTGAACAAGCTATTGAGGTGCGAATGCTAACAATGAACCAATGTCCAGTGCGCTTTATCTGTTTGGATTCGATCCATTTATTCTCAATGCAATATATACATGCTCACCATAACACATTAGGGCGACAGCATTGTCCATATGTAATCATTATACCATTCCGCCAATACTTCTTGCTTTTAGACATGCTTCCACAACACGGTCAAAAACAGTTTACCTCCCGTTCTACACACCTGATTTCCTTTACCTGGAGCTTACTTGTACAGACTTCACATAAGAATGCTCCACCCTGTGTTCAGTTTAATAACTGCATGTGTATATTTATATTTACCTTGTTTAGATAAGGATAGAATCCAATTGTGGTGACAACAGCATTTTTTTCTTTACCTTTATATATTAACATTTAGTTGAAAACAAAATCTTATCCTAACTTTCACCATAGCACTCACCATGCCTACACCTAAGACTGGAGTCTGGATGCGAACCTGAAGTTCTGGTGTCATGGTCCTGCACTTTGTGCGCCCACCATCCTCCTCAACCACCTTCAAAGCCTACGCAAAATACCAGACATGGGGGAGCAAATCACAAGAAAGTCTCAAGTCTTTACCTTCATGTCTCAAGCAAGTCCCAAGTTAGTTGTGCAAGTCAAGTTGAGTCATTGCTCAGTTCAAGCAAGTCACAAGTCAAGTCATATGTCACATACAGCAAACATCTCCTCACGATCTGCTAGCTACATGTCCTCTGAATATGCTGTGAAAAAGTAGGCAGCCCAGGCTCTGCAAATGGCAACAAAAACATTTGGGTCCAGCTGCATCAACCAGCCAGCGCAAGACCAGTGAAAGCAAGCACACACACATGAATGCGGTGCCCATGTCTCACGGTGTTGCGCACACGTGAACGCGGTGCCCAGAGAGGCAGTCAGAGCTACAGGCTACAATGAGGCTAAAAACAGAGTTCAAATGACGTTTTTCCAAACAACTTTTTACATCGGGCTTCAGGACACTTGGATCACTACGGACGAGCAGTATGGAGATATTCTGTGGTTTCAATTATGTGTTTTGGACGTTTTAATCTGGGGCACCATAAGCCTCCATTAGGTGGAGTTGTGTTGCTACCTCCTCTCCCCTTGGATCTCCGTAAGTGTTGTGAGGACTCTAAAACTTCACCTGATCCTCCATCGGCATATGGGTGAGTAGATAACGGGTGAATTTTCATGTTGGATGCACTATCCCTTGAATAGGTGTGTAAATCTAGGATAACTAGCAGCTATCACTCATGCATGACAGAGTCACGGAGGACGAGGGGGGGAGCTAGCTCCGTTGTGTTTGATAACATTGTTGAATGTAAACAGAAGTGATGCCCAACGGTGCTTAGTGTGCCTTTAATATTGAATTAAAGCCAAGTCCTTTCGAGTCATCTGTCTCAAGTCAAAGTCAAGGCTCAAGTCATGAATACAAAGTCAAAGTCAAGTCGGGTCTTTTATCAGCGTTAGTCTAGCAAGTCTCAAGACATCATATTTGCGACTCGAGTCTGACTCGAGTCAAGTCATGTCTCTGCGCAATACACTAATATGATGTTTCATTACCTAAAAGAAACGTCTCTAAACATAATCCAGGTAGTGATCTTGTTGCGACAATAATGTCATTGGGAAACCTGTTTTGTAACATACAAAATAATTTCTTGGAGACAGGGTTGTATCTAAGGACATGTGCATTTTATGACCCAATTCTATTTTCAAACTTTTTTTTTTTTTCATGATTGCGTGCCCTCCATTCTTGGTGGAACATCATCCATCTGCTCTTCACTGTCCATTTTCCCCTGTGCCTTTTCCACCTCAGCTGCAGCCTCTTTGCTCTGTGCAAAACAACGTACAACAATAGGCTAATTTCAAATGGGCTGAAAAGTTAGGAAGGGGCCTCTCAAGCCATTAGACAGTGCAGGCAAAAATAAGGCTTTCTGGCTCCTATTTTCCACCTTTCTGGAGGGAGTCATTTGATTAATGACATCAATTTTAGCACTCCACAAATAACTTACCCCAAGTTTCAAAGAGTCTGCTGCACCGGTTCTCCTCTGAGATGTGTAAAATGCTTGTTTGCAAAGTTAAATGAAAACTCCCATTTTAACAAGCAAAAAATGATGTAACCTGCACTTTTGTTGCTCAGATAGGACTCAGACACATACACACTGTAAGCAAGAATGAAAAATGACAAGTTTTAGGGGAACAATTAAGGAAGAATTATGATCATCATAGCTGCATAATGGTTTACGACGCCTGTTACCTATCTCTTTAATCAATTGGCTTAATTGGACATTACACTGTGAAATGTCACTACACGTATGCTATCTTCCAGTTGGTAGCTCCCATGACAGAAATGACTCCTATTTTGTTCTCCCTCCTACAGCATGTACCTCAGCCAGGATGTGTATGAGCCTGCCAGCCGTTAACCCCACAGAGGAAGTGTGCAGGAAATGAGATCAGCCTTAAAGAGAGGTAACGCCTGAGCCACTGACACCAGACCAATAACTGTCACTCACTGCACCTGATACTGAGATACTAAAAATGCAGAGAATAACAGGAAGGTCAGAATAGAATAGAATAGAATAGACATAGCTGGGTCATTAAAGAGAAGAGGAGAGCAGGATAAAATAAATGGATTACAAAAACAAGGAACAGAACCGCTTAAAATAGCACGGACAACGCAAAGAAATCAAACACAGCACAGCAGAGCAGAGAAAAGTGACACAAGAAAGCGGAAAATTCACCACAACTTTTACTATCACTCCGTCTCAAAGACAGGTTGAGTTGGAAAAACTGTCAGAAGAGTTAAAAATATCTGTGGAGGGGTGGAGGTTGAATTCTGGCACTAACTGTAACAGTATGTGGTACACATTTCCCTTTATGCTGCTATAGAATAGAATAGAATAGAATAGAATAGAATAGAATAGAATAGAATAGAAAATGACAGAAACAAACATTCTCGACCAAAGCATTGCAGACAAGACCAGACTAGAACAAAACAACTGTGTAGAAGAAAGTGTTCAGTGCTGTGAGAGGGGATTAAAGACAATACAAGAACAGCACCACCCAAAGTAACTATCAGACAAATTCCGTTTGAAAAAAACAAAAAACAAAAGCATGTTTCAATAGCTAAAAATACCAGCAGGGTTGGGCCTAATTCAGTGGCTGTGTATGTGAAACTGTCACTATGCCCTGCACACATTCTCTTTACCATGATGAAAGACACCGTCTGTAACTTCACTGAAGAAACCAGGCCTGACAGGCCGGTAGTGTGCGCACATGTGTATGGACGTTGCGCATATGTATACGTGGTGTATCTCAGCATGCACAAAAGCAGCCGCCTTTTTTTTTCTTTTCTTTTTTTTTTTTGCTTCTCTCTAAGATTGAAAAAGAAATCATGTTTTTTTTTTTATTATTTATTGACACAGGAGGCAGGAAGAATGATGAAACATTTACAGTGCCAGCTATCACCTACACCCAAGAACAAGAGGCGTTTGATAAAATACATAAATACAAACACTTGTTTTTATGGCACAACACACAACTTTGGCAGGCGGAGAACTCGCTTCTTATTTTGGTTTTATGTTTTATTTGATTTGACCAATCTGTGTCGGTAGAAACTCCTGAATAGATTTTGCCAGATGTTTTTAAGACCTCAGATCAGATGGATTTAAGCTGTTGAAGTCCGCCGACACTGCTCCACAAAGTAAATACATCATGCATATTGCAGTTGTCAGTCACATTTTCATTTACTTGTCTGCCTTGGATCTCCTCTTGTCTCTTGGACTGCTCACTCATGATCTGGCTGCTCGACATGTAAGTGACACAAAAATACACCTTTGTTATGCTGGTGCAACATTTGCAAGCTTTTACACTGCTTTTGAATAAAAGATGACAGTAGTGAAATGTGTGCACGGCCCTCCCTTGTAGCTGCAAAACATAATAAGGCCTGTTTTATGCTTCAGTGCCATTAAATACACAGGGTGTCAAATGTATAAATGTTTATCTCTCTGTGTGCTGATCTGACTCTAACAGAAAACAGGGAGATGGGCAATATCCCCTGATCTATGGGCATGAGACAGAAAAATGGCCAAAGTCAGGGTGAGATATGAAGA